ACGGCGGCCCTGCCGCTTCCGCCGCCCCCGCCCCCTAGCGGAACGGCTCCGGCCGGGCGCAGAGGCCTCCCCGAGAGTTGCTGAGGCCTTCGCTGAGTCCCGATCTGGACCCCGGACGCCGCATAACGGCGCTGAGAGACCTCGGGGGCCCTCGGCCTCCCCTGAAGCCGAACCCGTCGGAGGCTGAAAAGCAGCAGGCGCTTCCTGCTCACGGCGGGACCCTCGCGAGCAGGCGGCTTCTGGCGGCCTTGCCTCGTCCCGTTTAGAAAACAGAGCGGCCCCTCTGCGGGGGCCGCCCTTCTTTGCCCTTCCTGCAGGGAAGGGAGGAACGGGGAGGGCAGGGCCTTCCGGCGCCCTGAGCTACGCATCGCAGCTCTTGGATCGACGGGACGCGGAGGTGCCGTCCGACAAACCTCCGAGCGGCGTCTAGGACGCTTTCCGGTGCCTACGGGGAGCGTGGAGGGTTAGGTTGCGTTCCCTTCGCGCAACGGAAAGAAGACGTCCAACTTAATGGGTGCCCCCCCCCCCGGGCGCACATTGCAACAGGTGGAATGAAAAGTGGCACCGCCACTTCATGGGGTTTTTTAAGCAGAGGAATCGCCACGGGAAGATGCGGTGTCCGAAGCCCAGTGGGAGTAGTGAACGTTCGACACGGTAGGTATTATCCTCCGTATCCAAAGGCAGGCTTGATCTGCTGCGAACAAGGGGCCGGAAGACCGCGAGTACTAGAGAGGCCCCGTGAGCCAAAGTCTCTCGGGTTCCTGGAAGACCGAAGCTGCTGTTCGTTCATTGTTATATCCAGCTGTTTTTCCGAGAGCCCAGGGAGGCCGGTGTGGAAAGGTCTCCCTTCATTTCATCCCAGAACAACAGTCCTGTGAAGTAGCTGGGTCTGAGAGCGCGGGGACCAAATACTCGGAGGAGCTTCAGGGTCGAAGGTGCCTGAGTGCGTTGCTCCCCTCCTCCGAAGACGGTGACTCAAAGCAAGTGCCTGAAATGTTCATTTCTCGTTTGCAGCTTATTGATTTTCAGTGGAAGCTGGGAATTGCCATTAGTGCCGACAGTTGTAAATCCTTGAAGTCGCCTTGCGTTACGGTGGCGTTAAAAGTTGCCGATGGTTCGGGGAGCGTCACGTGCAAAACGTTCGAAATGACGGTCCCTCAGTTTCAGGTTTGTAAATGGCCTTCCGGACTCTTCCCCTTTTAAAAAGAGCGGCACATGTTCCCCCGTGGCTGCGGTTCATCACATTGTAGTGGAAATGGCCTTGCTTAGCTGGATTCTGTAGCAGCTCCTCCTCAGAACAGAAGACCATGGACCAAGAGTGACAAAACGTGCTGGGTGGTTTGAATGAAGCGAAGGCTCTGTTAAGGATTTCAGGATGAGGCAAATGGAGGCTGTGCGAATATCGGGCAATGGAACTCACTCAGATAGTTTTTGCCAGCTGCATGGCTGTTTTGGGACAGCTGTTTAGCTACAGTGGGGCAAAAAAGTATTTAGTCAGCCACCAATTGTGCAAGTTCTCCCACTTAAAAAG